TATTTAAAAGTCTCAAACCATAATATTCTTCCTATAAAAACAGTTATTCACTATTTGGTAGAGCAAGGTCAACTGTCAAATTTGACACATTTTTCGATGATCTCACCAGGTGGCATGCATTGTCTCTCTTTGGATCTCAATATTTTCCCACTAGATGGCCAAGACCTAGTGTTTTGGCAGTATTTTGATGCGCAAATGTATGACGTCACCATTTCAACCATCAACAAACGTATGGAAATAAAACAAAGCTTAATATAAAGGAAAAGCTGGAGAGGTGACAGAATTACCTACGGTGTCGGAATATACCGCGTTTACCCTACATCAGTCATACCCAGAGAGCTCTGATTCAAATTCTAAAATAGTTATGCAGATCTTGATGGCACTAATTCCCGTCCTTTGAGCAAATTTTCTCTAATGAAATCTCTCTAAGCATGGCTCTTGCAAACTCGCCTTTTGGCAAAGGCGCAAAGCTGGTATTGGCCACATTTCTAGGAACCCCAGGTGCCAGGCGTCAGCTCCTGGTTGTTTCAATGAAAGATGAATCTCCTAATAATTTGACCCAGCTCTTAAGGGTGACCAAACTTGGTTCCTGGAATGTCAAATGCCGTTAGGGGAAAATGTTTCTGATGAGGAACTGACATCTGCTCTGAGAGATTTAGGTTACAAGGACGCAACAGCCGAGCGAATACTAAAGGGTAAAGGAAACCTGAAAATCTCCAAGTTCAAAATTAACTTTCCTTCAGGCACTTTGCCAGATCATCTGTATGTTGGCTACCAGCGATTTTGTCAGGGCATCTTCTATCACCCTCTAGGTTATCATATGTCACCCTCTTATAACATGTTCTGTAGTCTGTACCCACATGGTAGAGTCACACTCAGTGACGTCATCCCTGTTAAGGCCTATATATATCTCGATCTGTGCATCGCTCGTCAGTCGTAGCGGAACTGCCTAGCCATCACCTTGCTAGCCGCTCCTCCAGCACGTACTTGTGCTGTGCCTGTCAATCCCCTTACTTCTGTACTCACCGAGCCACTTTATTATTATTATAATAGATCTAGTGATAACCATTCGTTTCACTGATCCTGCCTTAGACATACTTGGAACTAGTAGAGTCCTGACTCTCAGTTAGTAATCTATCAAGGGGTTGCAGAAATAGACCCCTGACAATTTAAAGTTGACCCCTTTGTGACTGACCCATGGCAGTGTTATAGATGCCAATACTTTGGGCACAGTGCCATTAGCTGCAAGGGTCCCCCACGCTGTGTTGCATGCGGTGGGGCCCATAGTGTGAAGGACTGTTCTTACTTCTAATACAGGAAGACCACACTGCTGCAATTGTGGAGGTCCACATACTGCAAATTATGGGGGTTGCCCTCATATGAAACAAGCAAAACAAGTTGAAAAGGTTCGCTCACACCTTAACCCTTTAAGCCCTGTTGTGACGAATTCGTCACACAGAAAATAAAAGCTTCTACCGAGAGTAATTACATGTTTGGAGTCTAGCCGCGAGTGTGACAGTAGTGTCACATGTTGTGAACTCATTTGAACGACGTTCGATGGAGTAGGCGTGCCACTACTGCCAGTACAACACAAAGACTGCGCATGATCTGAAAAGTAATTCAGATTGTTTTTCCACTTTCGAAATGTAATTCAGTGCATAAAGGGTTAAGCTCTTGTACCGAGATGCCCTGAAATCAGTAAAGGCTACTGCTTCAGGCCCACAAAACCCTGTTCAGAGACCAGCTCCCTCAATGGCTTCCATAGTACCTCCTGCCCCTGGCAACCCTTCACCTAAATCCAAACCTGCAGAGACAAAACTATGTCCCACTACCACAACTATTGGCACACAGACAACAGACATGCAAACAAAACCAACCTTGCAGAACATGCCAGTAGACCAATTCATTGAATTGCTTATTAAACTCTTGTCTCTATGTAAACCTAGTGAAAACCCTGAATTTCTGAATGTTGCCACAACTCTCATTAAAGATACTTTCCATATTGAACAACCCTCAAGCATACCAGTTGAACACTGCCCTTCTCAGAGCTCTAGCACAGAACCATACTGTGGCCTACATGAGATTCCTTTGCTGGAACTCTCACAAATAATTGCCAATGAGGATATGTCTGAAATGATTGAACCATCACCAGTACTTAGAGCCCCTCTGCGTCCTCGGATGACGGTGAAGCACAGGAAGGCCACAGCAGCCTATCCAGTATCTCAGGCAGGGTTGGCAATGATTAAATCATGTGATTAAATCACTTTATTTTTTTATAAAAAAATCATGATTTTTTTGATTTTTTCGATTTTTTTGATTTATTTGATTTTTTCATATATTTAATTATAAAGAGTGGCAGTCTTCAATTTATATTGAGGTATTGTTATTCATGGTTTAGTATAAATGTACTATGAATGACAAACTGGTATGGTGTCAGCATTACTAATGACTAATCCCTCTGGAGTCTGGACTCTGGAGGCTCTGCAATACCCACCTGGTCACAAATGCCACCTCTCAGCCTTGAAGTTGATGACATTGTACCACCTACTCCTAGTACTTAGGTACTAATACAAGCAATGAGGTACGAGACCACTTGGTTAATGATGACATTGAAGTCCTTGATATTGGTGACTGATACATTGGCCGTACTATGCTATTGCTGGTAAAAAAATGCGCCGTGCGCCGTACTTTAGAAAGCTAAAATAGAATTCATGGTGGCAGGGAATTATTGTGAGTACTTATCAAGTTATCGGTCCACCGCCATGCGGCGGTCTTAACCCTTCGCAAGGCCCCATGCCCTTGGCCCTTGGGCCCCTCTTGCAAGTTGTAATGGTCTAAACTCAATAGTTCGACGGTTCGACCCCATGGTCTCATCACAACTCTCTTTAGAAATATGTGGAGTTTTGAAATTGATAGTAATAAATCAATAGGGTAAACGCGGTATATTCCGACACATTAAGGACACATTGAGAAATGAAAAACTATAAAAAAACCGTATGCGTTACGTAAGTTCTGTTGCCTTCACATGACTCTCAAAACACTTCACTACGCGTCAGCAACGATGAAACGTCACAAAATGTTGCCATATTTATTAAAAAGCCTTTAGAAT